GTGTACCGACTTCAACGTTGCGCCACTGTCTGGAGATCGCGGGCTACGTGATCTACGACATCGTCGACGCCAGCGCGATCGTCACTGCAGGGGCGTTCAGCGAGTCCGAGGCAGCGCCCCCCCCCGAGGGCCATCAAACGCGTGGCTGGGACATTTGGAACAGCGCGACTTTTGCAGACGCGCCAGCAGGCAGCGCCAATCCCGGCCCACGCGACCACGACCTGCCTGCTTATTTGCGCCAGCGGAGAGGCTCTGAGACAGGCCAGTGCACCTCGCGTGCGCGGCCGTGCTCAGCCTGGACGGCTGGGCGCGCAGGGGCGCTTAAACGCGCGAGCGGCTGCTCACGCGCGCATGCGCGCGCGTTAAACGCGATCGCCATGCCGCTCGCTGGGGGGGCACAGTGGCTGCAGAGCACGCGCGCGCGCAGCGCGCTCGCGCGAGCGGGGGGGCCGCAAATCCTTGATGGTGGGGTCGTGTTCGCAGCGCCGCCCGATGCCCCTGCGCCCGCCGCCCTCTTCTCGGTGCTGCTGGGGCCCGGGGTCGCCGACTACCGTGCCGGCTCCGTCTTCCAGGCGCCGTCGGCGAGCGGCGACCTCGCCGAGTTCGACTGCAGCGCCCATGCGCCGCCAACTCGCGCGTCATCCTGGCGGCAGCGCGACCGCGACTTCCGCGCTGTCCGGCGCGCCGCGCCGCGTTCGCGCGAAGCCGAGCAGCGCGAGGCACCGCCTGCGCGCCGATCCCCGCGCGCACTCAGCCCAGTGCGCGACGGCCGCCAGGAGCTGCGACGTCGTCTGGTATGTGTGCCTCACCATTATTGGAGTTCCCGCAGTTCGCGGCGTGCCGGCCCGTCCGCTATCGATGCTTGTTTGGGTGTGCTGGCCTATCCGCTATCGTTGCTTGGTCGGGCGTGCCGGCCCATCCGCTGTCGGTGCGTGTTTGGGCGTGCCGGCCCGTCCGCCATCGATGTCCGTGTGTTGCTGCTGGAGCCGATTAACGCAAAAACGGTCATGCGCCGCCTGTGCTGGGAGGGCGAGTCGCACTGCGACGCGAGAGTGATGTGGATTTGGATTGGCATGCTGGTGGTATCGGCGCGCGTAACTTGCCGTCGTCCTCGTCGTCTCGCACTCCGACGTCGCGTGCTTGTCTGGCTGTCGTTCAGCCTGTCTCGCGCGCCGATCTACAGCTTGCGAGCGCCAGCTCGGCCTCTGGGCGGCTCGCGCGAGTTAGAAAATGGATCATCGCGATCGCAAGCCGATTTTGTGAAGGCAGATCGGCGGATTTCATGAAATCAGGCTGGGGCGTCTCACGCGCGCGGCATGGCTCGCCTTGCAACGCTGCGCGCGCGCGTGCGCGTCAGGAGGCCCTGTCGCGAATCGCGCGCCTTGCAGCCCCTGCGGGGGCCATGGCTCACTGCGCAACCGCCGCTTCGCCCGGGCCCGGTGCAACCGCGCAGCGCGGCCTTGGGCCCCCTGCGACCTGGCGTGCATCCACGCGCGCGCGCGTTCGCGCGCGCAGGGCGCAACGTTCGATAATTTGTCGCCGGCCAGTCGGACGACCTCTGGCGAGCAGCGCCGCCGTAGTGCCCGCGGGGGCCCTGGCGTGCGTCGAGGAGCTGCCCGACCGCCAGGCGGACTCCCTGCGCTCATCCCGCCGTCGCCTCGCCGAGGGAGTTTCGGTGCGGCGGCGTCCCCCCAAACGACGACCAGAGCACGGGTCGCGAGACTCCCTGCATGAACAGTCGAGCATCTTGCCGCGTCGCCTCGCCGTGGACCAGCGTCGCGCGCTGCCCCCCTGCGCCGCCGCGCCGGGCAGGATTCGAGGCCGGGCAGCCGTCCGCGGCGCTGATCATTTCGACTGTATGGTGTGCACCGAGGATGTCGAGTCTGGCCCCTCCGCCTCTTTCCAGGAGGTCATCGGCGGCGGCGCTGCCGCGGCCAGCCGCCTCGGGCGCGCCGGGGCCAGCGGTGGGCAGACCAGCGGGCCCGTCAGGCGCTTCCCAAGAGCTCAGTTGGGCGGCCGGGGCCGCGGGCAGTGCGCCGCATCGCGCGCGGCTGTTTTACCGAAGAGGAGGAGGCCGTTTGCATCGCCGAGGAGGCAATGATCGAGGAGGCGCATGCCCGCGTGGATGCCACGGGCCAGTCGGAGAACGTGATGCTGAGTGATTCCGCGCTGGGCACCCGTGTCAACGCGCTCGTGGCCCTGCCGGCGCCGGTGGAGAACTCAGTTTTCATTGTGCGCCTGGAAGGGGCGATCGACGACGCGATGGACGCCGTCCAGGACTTCCTCAACGTCGTGCGCCGCAGGGCCTCCCAGTTGGCGCTGGCGGGCTCCAGGGCCCCCGCCGTGGAGCTTTGGTCTTCCTGGCGCGCGATTTCCACGAGGCCTCCTTCCTCGCCGAGGCGACGCCGTCGGATGGGGAGGTGATCGCCTGGGATCTTAAACGCCGTGATGCCCTGGGAGCTATGGCGGGCCTGCCTACTTACCTTCGAGGGCGCGCTCGCTCGGGCGCCCCCGCTGAAGATGAGCGCGCCCAGCCTTGCGGAGACGAACGTCGTCGACGCCCGTGCCCAGATGTCCAGTCTCATGGCGAACATCAGCGACTGTAACAAGAAGCTGAATAGCAGGGATTCCTCCATGCGGGACGTTTGGAAGTCTTCTGAGCTGATCCTCATGAAAGTGGGCAAGATCTACCCGGTGAGGTCCGTCGTGATCAACGCCGTCAAGGACGTCGTGCCGACGGCGACCTGCCCAGTTGCTTGCCTCCAGGAGGCCGCGGACGAGATCGCGGTCAACGAAGGCCGGCGTGGTTTTGATTGTCCCGGACAAGGCCGAAGCGATCGCGAAGCAGAAGTTCGAGATGCTGGGGTGCTGAGCTCAAGGACATCGCGAGCGACGCGTAGATCTGAGAGGACGCCGCCTCCGCGACCGCGCCGCGCGCGCGCAGGCGACGATGCGTCTTGGCACCGTCGCCGGCGAGGACCTTTCGTGGAGTGGGGGGCGCAGCGCAGAGATCAGTGTTATAGTTGAACTTGGATACCTCCGAGTCTGCCGAGGATGGGTCTGGCGCGCCAGTGCAGCTCCCGTGCGCAGCAGTGCTGGGCCTTTGAGGTCATTCTACGCTTGCGCCCCACTCGTCGCCTCTGCGTTAGCCCCTGGAGTGGGCGCGTGCTCGCCGACAGCGGTCTGATGCTGTGGCCGCCCATCAGGTGCGGTGACTGGGGGGCGGCGCTGCCTGGTCCAACGTGCGTCTGCGCGCTGTCTGTGTTGCATCGTGACAGTGCTCTCGCATGGGCAGTTGCGCGCGGCGCGTCGACGCGCGCGGCAGTGCTAGTCCTGGGGCCTTGCCGTCGAGGTCGCGCCCAGAGTCGCTGAGCGCGTGGAATCGGCCGCCGCGCTCGCCGTCGCGGGCCTGACAGCGACGCGCAGATCAACGCGGTCGTTATGGCTGTGCGCGACCTTGCTTCTTGTGCAGGGGCAGCTGACCGAACCGGCTTCCCCGCCACGCCTGCAACGGACAGGCGGCATGTGCTCGCGCCTCCACCCGGCGCGACATCTCCCCTGTCCTTATGAGCGCGCTGTGCAGCATGAGTGCGCGTGCGTCTAGACAGCCGCCGCCGCGTTCCGGTGGACTTGGGCATGTCTGAGTCCGATGTGCCGGCGGCAAGGCACTTGGCGACCGAATTGCGAGGGGCGTCGCGAGCGTGGCCCGACCGCGCGCTCCTCGCAGATCTCGCTCGACGCGAGCACCGTCGAGGAGCTGTTCCATGCCGTCAGTTGCCGGCTAACCTTGAGGGCTTTCGTGTCTCGCAGGAGAGTTGCGCCACGTGGACAACAGCGCGGGCGCCTTCGTCGAGAAGCTTTGGCAGACGCAACGCGCCAGGCATTCGACAAGTGCCGCGTGTGCGTGTCTAGCTTTGGCACCGCGGCACTGCCTCAACGACGAGGTGCCAGCGAGACAGCGCGCCGCCGCAGAGGTCAGTGCTGCATCGCCGGCCACGCTTTCTTACCGACCAGCTGGCGTGCATCGAAGTAGCCTGGCGCGTCGGCCACGCTGTGCTGCGGGCAATGGGGCAGCTGCGAACAGCCGAGGTAGGCGCCCGCGTCGCCGCGCTGCCGTTGGTCGCGCCGCGCAGGTGCTGCGACGCAGTCGCCAGACCAACGCGCGGACCAGCCAACAGCTGTGACTGGTAAGAGCCAGCAAGTGGAGTCGCGCTGCCGCGAACAACTGGGCAAGCGGCAATGGCGCGCTCGCAAGACAAGGCGCGCGGATGCATCCCAGCGACGCAGCCGCGCAAGCGGCGCAACGGCCAGCTACGCCGGCTGGCGCCCACTCGCGCAAAAGTGCCGAAGGCGAGCGGCCACGCCCGCAGTGTGCCAAAAGTAGAGCCAGGGAGCGAACGTGGATGGAAGGCACGATCGGTGCTGCGGCTCGAGCGCACGCCGGGCGCGATCTGTGCCGCGCCCCCAGAAACAGGACCCCGCTCCCGGTTGTCAGGCGACATCGACCGGTCGACGCCACTTCGGGTAAGGAGCCTATCCTTGGGCTTTTCATGCTGTGGGGCGCCGTTGCGACTCGCGACCCTGGTCTGGTCAGCTCATTCCACGTGCGAGTTGGCCGCAGATGAGCCGACAGGGCTCCCCAGGGTTCATGCCGATCCGTTCGAGCTGAGGCTCCTCATTGCGATGGCCCTCTGTGACCGAAGCGCTGCGGAGGGGCGTTCTCCATTGCTCGGAAGCCCCGACTCGAATAAGAGCGCGCGCGCCCGCTACAACTTGGCTCGCAGCGGGCCCGCGTACTACATGCGATATTGTGAAGGGACCAGGACCGCCAGTATCTTTACCACTGCCGCCGCGTCTTCTCTGTTTCACCACTGCTACCAGCAGTTCTAGTCCCTCCCCCCCTCCGCTCCCGTTCTCCTTCTCCCTCCTCCTTGCTCTCCTCCCCCCTTCCTCCTCCCCCCTCTCCCCTCCCCCTTCTCCCTCTTCCTTCATGCCCGCAGGTACCTCGAGCTGCTGAGGCCCCTTTTCGAGGGCGACGAGGCCTCTCATTCGCGCCCCCGCGCCGCGGCCTCCAGCATTCAGGATGGGAAGGCAAGAGGAGGCAGGACCTCCACGCTACTCCTCCTGCTCCCGCCTCCTCCTCCTCCTCTTCCTCCTCCTCCTCCTTCCCCACCTCCTCTTCCTCCTCCTCCTCTTCCTCTTCCTCTTCCTCCTCCTCCTCCTCCTCCTCATTCTCCTCCCCCTCTCGTCCTCTTCCTCCTCCTCCTGCTCCTCCTCTTCTCCTCCCGCGCCTCCTCCTCCTCTTCCTCGAAAGCTGGCATGCTCTTACTTCCCTGCCTGGCCTCCCTCCTCTCTCCTCCCACCGCCAGAAAAAAAAGGTTTAGGTTTTTTGATAGATTCTTCCAGCGACTGGCGCAACTCAGTGATTGTTCGACGTGCGCGGAAGTTTGACCCTGATCTCACTGAGGATAAGGATAACTCCCTGACCACGATCATCACCGGGCTTTCTCCCCTCCTCCCTCTGTGCGTCTTCTCCTCCTTCCACCGCACGCTGTGCAATGCGTGGTGCACGTCTGGTCGATTTGGGTCGGCGCAATGCTGCCACGCGTGCAATGGCCCCCGAAGCGATGATCTTAGGCACATGGTTGCTTGCCCTACTTTTGAACCCCTTCTTCTCCTGTTCCCCCTTCTGCCTAATTTCTTCCACTACGGCGGATGGCAAGGTCGCTCGTGCGTATGGCGTCATTTTCCCATGGCTCCTGAGACGCTGACCTCCGTTGTTCTAGCCCTCGACGTGTACAGTAAACCCTACCACGATCTGAAACACACTTCGATAATCTCAGCCCGGCTGCGGGAGCACGCCGAGGAGCGATTGCAGCAGTTTGTGCGCAGAGATGATCGTATCCGCAACTTTTACGGCAGAGGGATGGCGTTATGAGTCCCGTCCCCGCTGTGGCTGGCCGCGCCGTCCGATGTCAGGATGGCCCTCTTGACGGGCAGCGGGTTGTCCCTCTTTCTTGGTTGCTGCCTCTCGCTCCTCCTCCTCTTCCACCTGCTCCTCCTCCTCCTCCTCCGCTGGCATCCTTGATACAGTAGCCAGTTATCGTGCGTGTACAACCCAGATACCGTCACACACGCTTCAGCCAGTTTATCGTTCCAGTCAAATGATACAGTAGCCAGCGTTTCCAGCTGCGGGTGAGGAATAAACCGCGGTTCAATTGCAACCGTTTCTCGTTGACATTTTCCCGTCTCTTGTTCATGTTCGCTGCGTTAGCTTGCCTCTTCTTTCCGGGTGTGACTTGTCGCTGGCCCACTGTGGGATGTTGCCCCCCACAGTGGTGACGAAAAGTTCTTTCCGATAGCCACGCCCCGTTTTTCTCAATCTGACCTTCTCTGACCTCTTCTTGTGGCAGTGTCCCTCCTCCTCCTCCTCCATCCTCCCTCCCTCCCCCCTTCCCTCCCTCCCTCCCTGCCCCCCCCCTCCCTCCCTCACTTCCTCCCTCGCTCCCTCGCTCCCTCCCTGCCTCTTTCCCTTCCTCCCCCTCCCTCCCTCCTTCCCTCCTTCCCTCCCTTCCTCCCTCCTTCTCTCTCTCTCTCTATCTCTCTCCCTCCCTTCGTCCTTCTCCTGCTCCTAATGCTTCACCCTCCTCCTCCTTCTCTCCCTCTTCCTCCTCTTCCGTCTTCTCCTCCTCCCTCGTGCTCGTTCCACGCTCATCTCCTCACGCCTCGCTCCACATGCCTCCTCATGCCCATCGTCCTCCTCCTTGATACTATCACCCTCGCTCCTTCCGCCTCCGCGCTGCTCCTGCTCTTCTGGAGGATGAGGGGCATAAGGAGGAGGAGGAGGAGGAGGAGCAGGAAGAGAAGGAGGAGGAGGAGGAGGAGGAGGAGGAGGGGGAGGAGGATGAGGATAGTGATAATGATCATGATGCTGATGATGATGATGATGATGATGAGGAGGAGGAGGAGGAGGAGAAGGAGGAGGAGGAGGATGAGGAGGAGGAGGAGGAGGAGGAAGGAGGAGGAGAGGAGGAGGAGGAGGAGGAGGAGGAGGAGGTGGAGGAGGAGGAGGAGGAGGGGGAAAACAACAATGTTGAAGAGGAGGAGGTGGGGGGTGGAGGCTTTGAAACTGTAAGCTGAGAAGCCGGAGCTGAACTGCGGCCGTTACGACAACATTTCAGAGGGGTCGAGGCCAAAGTTGAGAACGAACGGAAAATTCAAAGGCACAATACCAATGAAGCCGAGTGACGTCAGAGCAAGCTACATGACGAACTCGCTGCTGCCATGATCGCTCACGGCAAGATGCCTTACATCACGAATGCGTCCAAGAACGAAACGCAGCCAAACTCCACTGCACTGATGAGGAACTGGGGTGCATCAAGAAGGCCAACATAGACCTCCAGGAAACAATTTGCTTCCCAAGGAGAAGGGGACCTACATCGCTGACATTGAGAAAGTGCTGAAGAAGCACAGGAACAGTTCTAGCGTCACGAGCAGAACTACCATACCAGGCAACAACACCTGCAACTTGCAGAGCAGACAGCCGGCGAGAGGGACGCCTAATGCGACATGATGAGGGAGGCAGAAAACCACCTTTCCGTCGTCGTAGCGCGGAGATTCAACGGCTTCAGTTGACAAGTAGAGCTCCGCAGGTCTATTGTTAGCTCTGGCAGCCTGCTTTGCAGCGACCACCTTGATATACAAGGCCGATAAAAAAAAAGAAAAAAAAACGCATGGAGGCCGCCAGCCGGAAGAGAAGTGCCAACAGAGATTTACCGACACGGCGAGACGGGTGCGAGCCAGATGCGCGGAACGAACACAACACCCCGAACAACAGCTCGGCATCGCAATTGCTGGCGTGAGCGAGGACCACGAGCAGGCGCAACAACATACAGCCCAGGCAGAAGTCCAGGCAGCTGCGTTTTGTCCTACAGCGCACGCAGATTAGCTCCCTCCAGCAGGGCGACGAGGCCCAACAGCACGAGATCGACATGTACAAGCAGACGGAGGCAGCGTGTAGAGAATGGAACGCCATCCACCAGCGGCTCGCCGAGGAGGCCGCCCAGGAGTTGTTCTACGCGCAGCAAGCAGCAGCACAGGCACAATGACGCCTGTCACACGTCGAGGTGTTCGACCAGCTCGAAGAGGCGCTATCCACCGACGAGGTCTTCAGCGACACCGAAGGGATCATAACATTCCCGCAGCGGGTGGAGCCCATGCTCACGCAAGGCATTACCCAGGGCGCTACGCAACCTTCCCAGACTCAAAATGAGCAGGCAGCCAGGGAGGCCGACAGTTAGGGAGCAATCGTGGCCATCCCACCACAACGCGACCAGCCGGGCGGACAACCACCAGTAGGATAGGATTGTAGCAGTAGCGCCAACACTGCCAGTTCAATTTGACAGCTCTGGCACGCAGCACTCAGTCATTGGGCGGCGACCAATGTGGAGAAGACACCAGCATGCCACTGGTTAGTCAGGAATGCGACGCGCCACAGCCAGCTACACCCATTGATTGGACACCGAGATCAATGCTTCCAGGACAACCGGGCCGACATCGGGACGCCGACGCGGCGACTGACTCGGCATCGCTTCTCCACGGTCGGGGAGGGAAGTCTTTGGCTTGGTGGCCCTGGACGCAACATCACCACGGATGAAGAGGGATGAGGGCCTGACGACCGCCGATGAGATGACCCCGCAGGCGCCGTCCTCTCGCAGGATCTTCGTCGGCACGGGAGGGGGGGCACCCCTACCGTTAAGTCGGGCATGTTCCTCTACAGGAGGGATCTTCAAACATAGTCAAAAATAGTTTTGGGACGATTTTTTGATTATTTTTTGGTTACTCTAGAATGCTTTTGACAACCTTTAATTTTTCGTCCTAAATCCGCTAGTAGGAGGGCATGCCCGATCTGACCCTACCGCCAGAACGGGAGCTTGCAGCGCCCACTGCGCGAAGTGCTGGCGCCACCTGGACGACGAGGGCCACCATCGACCCCGACGAACCGTCGAAGAGTTTTCCGCGCCCCGCGCGCGCGCCATCCAGCGACGAAGCGGCTCGCTGGCAGACGCGGGGCAGCGTGGGGCCGCACAAAGCTCGCGCTGCCAATCGTGAGTCTGGAGAACACCACTCACAGGACGAGTGCGCCCCGACCAGTCCATCCCACCGAAAGCGGCGCGCAATTATCATACGTTTCGCCACGTGGACAACATCATGAACGTGTTCGCCGCGAGGCTTTGGCCGGCACACGACGCTAGGCGCTCGACATGCGCTGCGTGCGCGTGCCTGGCCTTGGCGCTCCAGTGCTGCCCGCGCTGCGAGGTGCCGGCGCGACGGCGCGCCGTCGCAGAGGTCAGCGCTGCATCACCAACCACGCTTCCTTACAGGTTTGCCGGCACACGTCGCGGTGGCCTGGCACGTTGGTCTCGCTGTGCTGCCGACGCTGGGACAGCTGCGAACGGCCGAGGTAGGCGCCTCGGACGCGGTTCTGCTTTTGGCCGTATCGAGATTGCACGCGCCTCGTCGGTGCCGCCCAGCATTCGCCAGAGCAGCGCGCGGCCCAGTCAACAGCTCTGACTGGTAAGCGCGGCAGGCGGCTGGACGAGCTGCATCGGTGCGCGCGCGAAACAAGGCGCGCGGGCACTTCCCAGCTGCGCAGCCGCGCAAGCGACGCAACGGCCAGCTACGCCCACCAGCACCTGTTCACAAAGATGTCGAAGGCTAGCGGCTACGCCAGCACTGTGACAGCTGCAGAGCCAGGAAGCGTACCTGGCCGGCAGGCACGACCAGTGCCGCGGCGTGAGCGCACGCCGGGAACGTTATGGCCCGGCCCTCGCGAGCAGTGCCCTGCTCCAGGCGGTTTGGCAACATCGGCCGGTCGCAGTGGGTAAGGAGCCCGTCCCTAGGCTCTCCCAGCTGTGGGTTGTTGGTGCGATCCAAGACCCTGGGCATGGTCAGCTCAGCGCATCTGGCGCACGAGCTAACCTCAAACGAGTCGACAGGGCCCCCCAGGGTTCGCGGGTTTCCGTTCGGGCTGAGGCTTCTGAGCCACGGGTGTGTTGCGCCGAACGTCCACTGTTGGGGCCTCGCGGTGAATGATCTGGCACCTAATAGTGGGTGGCCCTCTGTAGCCGAAGTGCTGCAGAAGGACACTCTCCATTGCCCGATAGCCTCGGGCTCGAACGGGGGCACGCATGCTCGCCCGCTGCCGCTCCAGCCTACAGCGTACAAATGAATCGCGACTAGTCAAAGGACGAGGACATGCGC